TCAAAAATTGAAAATGGGACTATTCTACAATCTTTAATCCTACTGGGAATGTACCCAAAAGATTGAAAGCTGGGTCCCAAAGAGATGACTGTACAGTCATGTTCATAGCAGCATTGTCCACAAGAGCTAAAACATGGATGCTATCCAAGTGTCCACTGACAGATAACTGGATAAGTCAGGCATAGTATATACAAAGGGATAGTTTTTGGCCTTAAAAATCCAAAGAAGTTATGACCCATCTATGTTATAACATGGATGAACCTAGCAGCATTTAATATCTCTGAACTATATACTCCAAAAAAGTCAGGATGGCAATTGTATGTTATGTGTATTTTATCAGTTTTCAAAAATGAGGAAAAGGAACCCAGGCGTGGTGGTGCACGTCTTTAGTCCCAGCACTCAGGAGGCAGAGACAGGCGGATCTCTGTGAGTTCAAGGTCAGTCTGGTCTACATAGTGAGTTCCAGGACAGCTGGGGCTACAGGGAGAACCATCTCAAAAAGACCCCCCCCCCCAAAAAAGGAAAAGGAACTTAATTTGAACTTGTAGATTTTGGACTTTTGTAAAATAGTGGACTTTCTAAGGAATCTATGCCTGTGAACCTGAGACCAGGCAACTCCTTGCTATAGTTAGGTGACATCTGCAGATGAGGCTGGAAACAGGGCTAGTTACCCAAGCAACCTGTGGCCTTTAGCCTCAAAGCCTATGCCTGCCACCTAGCCTTTAGAGTGGAAGGGGTCGCCTATGGGTCCAGAGGGCAGTGACAGGGTGGGAAGAGGAAAGAGAGAAAGAGGAGGAAGGGAAGAAGCTGCTACATCAGTGCTGTGACTTTTAACATTCCCTGACTTGACATGGAAATAGCATGAGATATGTGCAATCAAGAAGAAACATTCTCTTTGGTTAGAGCCAAAGTCACAGAGTAGTTAGAGGGTGGTATGGGGGTGGAGAAACAGATGCTCAGAGGAACTAGGGCAGGGTCCTAGGGAAACCGGTGTCATAGCAACTAATGGAGGAGGGGCAGATGGTAAGTTACTTAAGATCCTGAAGAAGGTCCCTCAAGAACTTAAAAGATGGTGTGGGGACCAGGCCAGAAAACTTCAGAGCGGTGCTTTGTGGCTGGTTTCCAATGTTTTCTTGGACATGTCATTTGATGCACAGAATGCTCCTAACTGCTAGGCATTAATGGCCCAATGTCAACCCAGGTCTATCCAGCCTCTCTTCCCTCATCTTGGAATTATTGTGCAGGAATTTTGACCCACTTGAAGAATAAGAGTTGAGACTATCTGCCCTGTAGTAGCAATACAAGGTGTGGGAAGGGAGTTTCCCCCAAAGGTAAATAGATTCTAGACATGAACAGCCCATGTTAGAAGAGCTTCTAAGCTCAAAGGAGAGAGCTTCCTTTTTCTTTCTTTCTTCCTTTTTTTCTTTCTTTTTGGTCTTTTTAAAACAGGATCTCCCTGTAGCCCCAGCTGGTCTGGAACTCAACAAAGATCCCCCTGCCTCTGCCTCCCAAAAGCTGAGATTAAAGTCATGCACCACCACGCCCAGCTTGAGAGGTTCCCTTTTCATTTTTAAAATATAAGAAAGCATAAGTATTTTCATTAGTTTTATGAATTTTTAAAGTTATTATTGTCCAATTCCAGGCTGTCCTGCCTCCCTGAGCCCCACTGCCAAGTGCAGGATCTGTCTGGTGATTCTCCTGGACCTGAAATGACTTCCTGGTGTGCCCGGCTCACTCACTGTCTGAGCTGACAGCTGCTCCCCCTCTCACGCCCTCTCTCCCTCTACTTTCTCAGGATCACTTTTCCTTTGCTCCCCTTCAGCAAATGTTTATCCCTGTCTTGGGCCTTTGCCCAGATAGCATTCCCTGCCCCTGACCATCCCTTCCCTGCTGATCTCGGCCTCCTGGTCCCTTGGGTGCTGGCCAGGCTTCCCATCTACATGTGCTGGGACTCAGTTGTGCTGTGTTCTCCCTCCACTGTGGCAGGACACTGTCGCTCTTCTGGGCTCCTGGGCACAGCGATCTGGCAGCTTTCAAAGACTGGATCTGGTCTTCCTGTTGGAGTTGTCACTTGCGTGAGGGCATCTTGGAGCTTCAGACTCTAGGCATCTGTAGGAACCGCACAGCTTCCCCAGACTCCCAGACTCCCTCCAGGCCTGGTTTCCCCTACTACCCTTCCCAAACTCATCTCTGCTCCAAGCCCTTCAACCCTAGTACAGCACTTGGAACACAAGATACTCAAGATTTCAATTAACTTGAAATTGGAAGCATTGTCATGGGCATTTAATGGGGAAACATACACTCATTAGTTAATTTTGCAATAGGATGCAAACACAAACCTAAATGCCACATGTCATATGATTTATCTATATGTCCACATATACATATATATGGCTTCTATATTTAGTATAGCTTAGGTATCTAAGGCCATGATGAGCAAAACAACATGAGATTAAATCTAGTGCAAAAGAAAATGATGAAATCAAGAGTAAACTTGAGATGCAGGAGGCTGCTGGGGGTATAGTTAGAATACTGGGGTGTTTTGTTTTTGTATTTGTATTTTTTTTATTGAGCTTTTTAAATTTCATATAATATTTCCCACTCAAATCCAAACCCCTTTCCCCATCCATGCCTCCCTCTATCCCCCCACTGGACCCTATGCACTCTGCCATACATGCTGAGTCTTATTCATTCAAGTGTTTGTACCCAAATATCCTTCAGTGTAAATGCATACATTCGAGTCTAGTCAGCCCGTCCAGTGGTCGTATGTACTCTCCCTCATCTAGCAGCAATCAGTCTCAAATAGTTCTCAATCTTCTGCTGGCCCACCACCTATTTCTCACCTCCCCTTTGGGCCCTTGTTTAAGTGAGCTGACATGGGTTCCATGCTCAACGCCACCACTGCCACAGGCTCACATGAGCAAACCTCCAGTTGCCTGGAGGCCACCACCTCCCTGTGTTCATGAACCAGCCCTGGCTCTTACAATCTTTCCGCCTCCTCTTCCACAATGGTCCCTGAGCCGTGGGTGGGTGGGGCTCCATACAGGAGTCCCATCCTATACTCTACAATCTCTTATTCTCCAAAATTTAGGCAGCTGTGGCCTTCTGTGTGCATCACACTCTGATGTACATGGAAGCCTCACCGGTGAGAGTTGAGGGGTGCATTAGCCCTCTACCCCTTATTCTGCTGTGTTCCATGAGCCTTAGCTGTAGAGAATCGACTGCAGATATGTCACTTAGTACTGGACATCTCCCAGGCTTATGTTCTCTGTGCCTGATCAGATATGTAACTCTGCAGGAGCCTCCATCAGGAGGCTGGCCTCAAAACTCCCAGGCAGGTTGCAGGTGGGGACAGCCAGGGAAGAAGGCTGGTCTCAGGTGTACAAAGGCAAGTTGGGGGAGGGGGCAGGCTGTGAGGTCTCTAGGAAAGTAGATTGAAGAATTGGGTTGGTTTGGGTGCAAAGAATCAGGAAGCAGTGGGGGTAATCTGGGCCAAAAGGGTAGTTTAGAGGTCTAGTATGCCAAGAGAAGAAGTAGGCCTGTGCCCAGGGATGGACAGAGAATGGGATGTCTTGTGTATTTGTATTTGTGTGTGTTTATGGGAATGTGTATGTGTGCATGTGTGTATATAGATGTACTTGCCCATGATCTCTGGAGTCCAAAGGTCAAATCTGAGTGTCTTCCTGTATTAGTCTTCACTATATATATAATTTTGGTCTTTTCGAGATAGGGTCTCCCAGCTGGCCTGGAACTCAACTATGTAGACCAGGCTGGCCTTGATCTCACACAGATAGTCTGCCTGTGCCTCTTGAGTGCTGGGATTAAAAGCATGCACCGCCACACCTAGCCACAATATTTTTTAAGACAGAGTATCTCACTGAATCAGAGAGATCACTTTCACCTAGAGTAGCTGGCCAGCAAGCCTTGGGATCTGCCTGTGCCTTCCTCTTGCCCTAGTCCCAGCACTGGGGCCACAGGTGCACTGCCATGCCCAACTTTTACATGAGTTCTGATCTGAACTCAAACCCTCATGCTTACACAGCAAGCAACTTACCTACTGAGCCATCTCTCCAGCCAGTAGTAGATTGTCTTACAGTGGGCTTGCTTTTTACTAGTAAAAGGTGTACACTCTAATGATAAATGGGCCAAGCTGTGGCTCAGTGGCAGAACACATTCTTATCATGCACAAGGTATGATATATGTTTGACTGCTAACATATATACATAGGTTAAAAGTATAGAAAATGATACATGGAAAGGGAAAGGCATAGCGCAATAACTCTATAAACCAGTAACAGTTGTCTGTTATCTGCATCAAGCATTATGCATTGTCCCACACACAACAGGCAGGGTAGTAGCTTTGCATATACTGGTGTCACTACAAATGTGTAATACTTTGTGCTACAGTGTCACTGGGCAATAGGAATTTTTCTGCCCCTTTTTATCTCCAGAGACCATCATCATGTATGCATTCCATTGTTGAACAGGATGTTTTATGTGACTGAATTCTTGGGGTTGAACTGATATTATTCTTTATAAGGAGTAGAAAAAGAGAAAGGATCACCTTTTGGGAGCTTGTCAGCTGTACCTGTGGCTTGATGTGGATGCCTCAAGGAAGTCTTTGAGGGGATCTGGAGGTCTTCCAACCTGATGTGCTAGAGCTGGAAAACTCAAGGTCACATAGCATATGACCTGGATACATCGGCCATGCACACTGCTATAGGCCTGGGCCCAATCTCTCAGACAGATGCACTCTTGGGAGAATGAGCAGAGCAATGGATTGCTCAGATCAGGACACTGCAGGATGGTCACCCCAGGCAACTGATCTTGTTCGGTGGTCAGCCCCTGAAAGGATCAGGCAAAATCATTTTCTCTCTCTCTCGCTTTTTTTTTTTTTTTTTGGTCTTTTTGAGACAGGGTCTCCCTGTAGCCCCCAAATCATTTTCTATACATAAGAACTTGCTAAAACTCAAAATTGCCTGGCACCAAGATTGCTTTATTTTAAAAGCCAATCGTGTTATTGAAGAAGAGACTGTGTTCTCGACCCATTTTGGCAATAGTTGGGGACTGCTTAGGGAAATGTTTGGAAGATGTGTATGCTCCTGGGCCTGGTGTTTTCTGAAACAGAAGAGAAAATTGGGTCTGATGAGATGACGTTATAACCCCGAGGCTCCTACATCTGGCTGTTGGTTGAGCTGTGGCAGACTCAGCGGAGAGAGATAAGAGCCAGCAGAGTTTCTTGAGAACTGAGTTGGCACCTGTGGGGTCATTGTGAGGCTAGGAGGTGCCCAGACAAGGACACAACAAGCCAATGACCACTGGCACCTGTGGGGCAGGGGATGAGGGCAGGGTCATACTCCACTGGCACAATTTCTCCCATTGGCATTTGCTCAGGCAGCTTTTCTCACAGAGGCACCAACTTCCTTTTGGCTACTGCCCCTGATCTAGCAGCAAGTATCTGGAGAGACTGAATTCTTAACTATATTTCTAAGTCAAAAACCTAAACTGCTTCCCATGTTCCATCACTGACACAGTGTGATAGAGTGAGGTATATCTTAGCCCCCTCTGTGGACCTCAGGGTCAGCATTATTCTTAAGGTATCCATGAGCTCTCAAATTTATTTGTTTTTAATTATATGTATGTGTGTATGTCTGTGTGCAGGTGAGTGCAGGTATCCATGGAGACCAGAAGAGGGTGCCAGATCCCCCAGAGCTAGAGTTACAGGCATTCATGAGCCACTTGACATGGGTGCTAGGAATCAAATTCTAGTCCTTTGCAAGAGCAGCAAGGACTCTTAACCACTGAGCCATCTCTCCAGTTCGAGTTTTCAAACTTTCGAGAACTAAGCTTTGTGCTGATTCCAGTCTTGCTCTCCATGCTGGGGCCATCAGCCTAGCTTGCAACCAGTGCCCTCAGAGGACAGAAGAGGCTGCTGGATCCCCTGGAACTGGAGTTATGAACAGATGTTAGCTGCCATGTGGGTGCTGGGATTTGAACCTGGGTCTTCTGCAAGAACAGTTAGTATTCTTAACCACTGACCCATCTCTCCAGCCCCATCGAGTTCTCATTTTTAAACATTGTGTTTTCATTATGCTAAGATTCTTGAACAAAATATTTTGTCAATGATTTAGTCAAAGTCCCTCTTTTATGATGACAAAGTAAAAATGAATGCCCTTTCCTCAAACTTAGACTTCAAATGCTTAGGTCACAGCTTCCCAGGCTGAGGGTGCACACACATGTTCTTGAAAACCAAGGGAATGTTTATCTTGGGCCAGTTGGAAGGACAGCAGTGAAGTGGTAAAAGATGACAGTTTGCTGAGTGTGGTAGTGTACACTTGTGACACTAGCACTCAGGAAGTGGAGGTCAGAAGATCATGATTTCAATGCCAGTCTGAACTATTTAGTGAGATGTTGTCCTGAAAAGAAAAGGAAGAGGAGGTGGGAGAAGGGGAGAAGGGGGAGGTAAAAAAGGGGGAGAGAAGGAGGAGGAAGAGGAAGAAGAAAAAGAAAAAGAAGGAGGAGGAGGAGGGGGGGAGGAGGCGAGGCTGGAGAGATGGCTCAGTAGTTAAGAGCACTTACTGTGTGACCATGAGGGCCTGAGTTCAGATCCCAACATCGTTGTAACAAGCCAAGTGTGGCCTTGCACATGCCTATAATTCCAGTTCTGGAGGTTGGGGGCAGAGAGAGCACTGCTGGGCTGCCAGACTAGCCCAAAATTGCAAGCTCTAGGTTCAGGGAAAGACCTGTCTCAAAGGAATAAGGCGGAGGGTGGTAGATAAGGACACACAGTGCCCTCTTCTGACCTCTATGCGCACGTACAGGCACATGCACTCACACACACATATACACAGACAAAAAGGAAAAGGATGAGGAGGAAGAGGATAATAATAATGATGACAAAGGTTTCAGAGTCTAGCAAGCCTGGGTTTGAGTCCTAGTCCCAGCACCTAAAATAACCCATCAATTTGTGCAGAGTGCTTTTGCCTGGTAGGAGGGTGAGCTCACTGAAGTCCTTCCAAAACAGACAGTACTCTGTCCAGTCAGCAGCCAGCCCTTCACATGTGGACTCCCACCACTGTCATTTACTCTTCCCACGACTGATCATGCCTGCCCTTCCTTGCCATCCACTCTCTGTCTTTCTTTGGGAGACTGGGTAGAAACATCACCTAGAACGTGGAACAGAGCAGTCAGCCCAGGGGATGACATCAGCTGCCTACAGACGCCTGTTTTAAAGGCAAGATGCTTGGCCAAAAACAAAGGAGCAACCTGGAAATCTAATCAAGTCCTGGCCACACGTCAAAGGAAGCGGAAGCCTTTATTAGTGCTATTAATGAGGATTCAGGACTGCATGTGCAGTCCTGGAAGGCCAGCCCATAGAATAGGAGATGGGGGGGTGCACCCAGAAGGCCACCTCTCAGGAAGCTGACAATTGTGGCCCTACCACCTTGAGGACACCCAGTAGGATGTTCCCCCAGCCCTAATTTCACAGTTACCAAGTGACCTTGAAAATGTCCTTTAAGGGAAAGCAGCAGTCTCAGACACCTAGGCCCCTTAGTGGTTGCTGCACTTTTAAGCATCTTGCTAGGAATGTGGTTAGCATGATTCAGTCTTCTTGAGAAAGCCCCATCCTATGGACCCAGACAAATGCCTGTTTTAAATGGTGCTAAAGTATGAGAATCCTCCAGCCTCTTGCTGCTCATCTGTCTGCAACTACACTGGCTGGGTGTCCCCATCACTCCTCCAAATAAAGGTTACTCTACCCATCTCTGTAGACCAGCAGCTCTGCAGCATTCTGAAGGCCATGGCCTGGGCACTATAGGTGGGGCTCAGAGATGTGACCTACAGCCCAGACAGTGGCAGGTCTAGCCCTTCCTACCTGCTGTCCCAACTTCTCTTTCCACTCCTTCCCTATAAGCAGAATATGTGTTTTTGTCTCTCAACCCATCTTGAGAAAGCCTACAGAGCAGTAAGTCTCAGCAACTTTCAGACCAGCATGCAGACTAGGAGCAAGACCATGGGAATGAGAACAGTCCTTTGGTACCAAAAATACTTTTAAAAGCCACTATTGCTAAGCTCCATTTTATGGTCTAATAATATTCTTTGGTCTTCAAGGACTTTAAGGGTCTGCACACTCTTATTTTTTTTTTTTAGTTATTATTTGATCACGATAATGCACTTCATTATTCTTTTATACTGTATGCTTTACTCATAGACTTGTCTTTGTAGCTGGCCGTGGACTTGAGCCTCCTCCTGCCTCCATGAGTTCTGGGAGTGGGTGATTGTGACATCTTAATGGTCCCATCTGCTTCAATAACAATGCTTCTCCTTCAACCTTTGGCTTCCCTGAGCTTCTGGAAGCCACACTCACACACCAAGGAGGCAGTTTCAGGTGTCAATGTCAATCCATTAATGTGTCCCCTCAAAACAGCCAGGTCAGAGCAGTGATGGCTATTTAATGTAGCCACAGTCTCTGGACATACAGAGCCCTGAGAAGTGGGCTGAGAACTTCCAGATGCCAGAGCTCTACAGTCCCTGCTGCCTCAACACTGCACTCAACACACTGCGACAGCAGCTACAGGTTTCCCCTGCTCGGGGCCCCCTGACCTACACAAGTAGAGTCATGACACCTACAGCTCCACGGGTGTCTCTTTTAGAATACTTACTGAACAGGTAGGCAAGAATCGAGGTACCTTAGATCGAAAACAAGAAGTAATGGAGCCTACTGGAGGTGTTTTCAAGTTATAGTCACCAGGTCCTGGGCCTTCATGCTGTATAACATAAAAAAGGAGTATTTCATCGTTATTAATGTTTGACCTATTTCAAGGCTTTATTTGCCTTCTACAAATAAAAACATGAATCAGTATGATATGGTAGAGGAACTTCCCAGATGTGGGCTTGAAAGATCTTATTACGGTATGACCTATGAATAGAAATGGGAAATAAGGGCTAGTAGTGGCACATGACTTTAATCCCAGCACTTGGGAGGCAGAGGCAGGTGGATCTCTGTGAGATTGAGGTCAGCCTGGTCTACATAGTGAGTTCCAGACCAGCTGGTGCTACAGGGAGACCCTGTCTCAAAAGAGTGGGGTGGGGAAAAAGGGGAAAAGAAAAATGGTAATACCACATGGAACCTGCCTTAGCTGCCTCGAGCATAACTGTGAGAGGATGGAAGAATGGTGACCTGGGAGTGTCTCCCATTACCCCAATAGGGTCTCCAATGCCTGGCCCCCTTTCCATACATAGTCCCCTGCTCACAGCCACAGGTCCCAGACCATGCTTATTACTCTGACAGTGAATTGTGAATTGCTGATGTGCTGTTAGCTTTATAAAAACACTCTTTAGTATGAATGTTATATCTATTGAGTTTAAAAAAGTAGTCACAAGTCATTGAATCAAGCAGAAAGCTATTGGATAAACATAAATGGATGAACACATTTAAAAAAAAAAGAAAGAGCCAGGCGTGGTGGCACACCCTTTTAATCCCAGCACTCGGGAGGCAGAGGCAGGCGGATCTCTGAGTTCGAGGCCAGCCTGGTCTCCATTAGCGAATCCAGTCCAGCTGCGGTTACAGGGAGACCTTGTCTCAAAAAGACCAAAAAATAAAAAAATAAAAATAAAAACAAACATACTGTGCTTGGTGGTGCACATCTTTAATCCCAGCACTTAGGAGGCAGAGGCGGAGACAGGCAGATCTCTGTAAATTCTAGGCCAGCCTGGTTTTATATAGTGAGTCCCAGGCCAGCCAGATCTACATAGTGAGACTTTGTCTCAGAAAACAAACAAAAACAACAAACATCCAATAGAAAAACTAGCAGAAGGCAATTCATGAGGAGGAAATACAAATACCCGATGAACAAACTCGGGGAGGGGGCTTTAGTCTCATTCATAACCAGATAACTTCTCATTAAAACAGTGATAGTCTTTGTTCAGAGGATGGGGTCTAGAAAGCTAACAGAATTCTTAAGAAATAAAAGAGGGCTGGTGGTGTTATTCAAGGGTAGAGCACTTGTCTAGCATGTGTGTTCTTCAAAAAAGAAGGGAAGAGGGAGAGGGAAAGTGCGGGACAGAG